GATTTACTTAGAAAATACAAAGCACTGCACCGCCCAATAACAGGACAGAAAGGAATGAATGGCGGGTACCACTGAAGGCGCTTAACCACACGTGCAGCCTCCCGAAACTAGCTCCGCTGTCCCGATCGTTCTCAGGGGCATAGGCTGCAGTTCAACATCTGGCATCTGTCAAGGAACTTTATGAAGAATCAATAAGGAATCGACAGAAACTGAACAAATAATTCAATCTACATTTGATAAATCTCTGTATTTGAAAAAAATTATGAAGACTTAACAAACATCACATGATACTTCGTGTGCAAAAATTAACGGATACACTAGCGACAAAAAATTCTACAAAACACACTTTCACTCTGCTTACAAAACATTCGTCTTATTTGCTGTCATTGATGCCAGTTCTGTCATTTGGTGAATACACACGGATTTACACCAAACTAACAATTCGTTAACTCGTGCTTTTAAAGCGTTTGGCACAGAACACAAAAACTGGTTTTTTTTCTGATTAGGGTGTTAAAATTTTAAATTTTATACGTAGACACACAGACTTTGCACGCACACTGCTCTCAGCAGGAACATCCGCCCCCTTCCGGTTCTTGGCCCACGTGGTCTATGGACGACGGAAGAAGCTCTATATCTGTAGCTGTCGTCAAGGATATCATAAAAAGTAACCATTAACTTTCGTTATTTAGGGATTTGTAATACCATGCAAGTGTTTTAAGCTAAATTAAATTGTGGAATATTAATATCATTTCAAATGTGAATTCCAAATGGCATGCAAACATTGCTTAGTCTTCATTTTCCGCAGTGACTGAGAGAGGGGTTCACAATATGTTTGTTGTGTCATCTTTTGGACTTTTGAGAGGAATATAAACTTTTGTAAGAGCAATCGATATTGTCCAAAAAGGTCATGGTTGCGCGAACATAAGTCAAGGTCAAAGGGTCAAAGTTGTTGGTATCCAAAGGAAGATCTTGTCACCTTGTCACAAGGAATACACGTGAAGTATGAAAGCCTTTGATCAACCGTTCTAAAGTTATGGCCAAGGTTTATGTTTTTTTTCTGCAAAAACTTTAACAATGCCCATTACTTGGTTGAAGCTATGGCTTTCATTTTTCACATGTGTATTCCTTGTGACAAGATCTTTTTTTGAGTTTGATCATATTTGACTTTGACCTTGGAGTTTGACCCAGTTTTGCAAAATTTTACCGAACTTAAACCTTGGTCATAACTTTTGAACAATCCTGGTGACAGACCTTCCTTTGGATACCAACAAGTTTGACCCTTTGGCCTTGACCTAGGAGTTTGACCTACTTTGGAAAACTTTAACCTTGGCCATAACTTTTGAATGGTTGGTGCTAGGGCTTTCATACTTCACATATGTAATCCTTGTGACACGACCTGCCTTAGGATACCAACAACTTTTACCCTTTGACCTTGGTGTTTTACCTACTTTTGGAAAACGCTAACCTAAGCCATAACTTTTTAACTGTTGGTGCTAGGGCTTTCATATTTAAAAGGTCTTTTCCATGTGACAAGACCTGCCTTTGGATACCAACAAGTTTGACCCTTTAACCTTGGAGTTTGATCTACTTTTGGAAAACGTTAATCCTGACCTTAACTTTTTAGCAGTTGGTGCTAGGGATTTCATATTTAACATGTCTATTCCTTGTGACAAGGCCTTTCTTTGGATACCAACAATTGTAATCCCTTGACCTTAGGAGTTTTACCTACTTTTGAAAAACTTTAACCTTGGCCATAACTTTTGAACGACTGGTGCTACGGCTTTCATATTTCACATGCATATTTCTTGGGAGAAAGCCTTTCCTTGGGCACCATTAATTTTGACCATTTGACCTTGATGTTTGACTTAATTTTAAAAAACTTTAACCTTTTCCATATCTATTCAATGGTTGCTGCTAGGGTTTTCATATTTCACAGGTGTATTTCTCGAGACAAGACCTTACTTTGGGTACCAACATATTTGATTTGCATTTTAGGAAGTTTAACCTTTCTTATAAGTTGCCGTACGGGGGCATAGGTGTATCACAAACACATCTTGTTTATAATCATTTTGTATCTCTGATGACTTCACCATATATAAAAATAAGAAAGAATTTAAATACCTATGAAACTTAGAGAAAATTCGGGTAAGCCAATAAAATCTAATCTAGATAGTATTACCTGAAAGACCTTGTGTTTTTATTTGTTTACGCAAAAAGAAAAGCATGCCATATTTCTAAATAGGAATAGGTATCTCATGCTTGTTTAAAGTAATCTGATAAGGAAAAACATAGTAACCTTGACCTGGCCTTCCTACTTAAATAAGATGGTCAAATTTGACCTTACTGCATGTAATATCAGAATATGGTCTTCTTGAATCTATGAGAATTTCATTAATTTGGTATTTTAGCAAATCATTTTAAAAAATTACGCACAATTTCAGTGAAGTTGTGCCAATGACCATTTAAAAGTGTCCGCTGAATTTCATACCTAATAATACAGAGAACATTTTTGGTAGTTTTCTGTATGTCATCTTTTGACGAAAAAAAATATTTGGATGAAAGATCTTATTAAATATTAATCGCTAACAGAAAGATTCGTTATGATAAATTAAATTGATGGCATGATAGATTCAAATTAATGATTTGAATTCCACATAGGTTCTATATCACAGGTAGACAGATAATTATGATAACGTAGGTCACAACAAAATTAAAATTTTGAATTTTACAGTCTATACTGGCATTTTTAATCTTTTCTATTTGTAGAAGACAGAAAGTACATATTTTCTTATAAAACAATATATTTTCAACGAAGAGTTCTATAATAGTATCAAAGGTTATAGGGTTTCAAGACAATAGAATTTCGTAACGTAATGCACTATACTAGCTCTTAGTGACAATGAGATATTAAAATTTTTCACTTTATTAACCCTATTCAGGAAATTGCTTTTTAATACAGTATTTTTCATATTTTAGCTCTGGGCTTTGAATTGATGAAATTGACAAAAATTATCTTTGTCCAACAAAGATGTACTTTTCTAAGCATACCGTCAGTTTGTGACACGAGAGTTCTGAGAGTTTCCTAATACTTTTATGTTTAAAATAGCGTATAATGAAATATTTCATAGTGATTTTTTTTGGCTGGTTAATATACCTTTACACTTTAAAATAAAACTCTTTCTGTATATCAAGCACTTATAAATCTTTTTTTTTTTTTTTTTTTTTTTTTTTTTTTTTTTGGTCACAAGAAAATTTAAGATTGGCATAACTTGAAGTTTAAATTAATTCACTTTAACTTTCCGCTAAAACAGAGCAAAACATGAGGCCCATTGACCACAGTGCTCACCTGAGTTACTTAAGCCCTGTTTTTCTCATCAGCAGATTTTTTTAATAAAAAAAATTCCCTCTTTAATTTTATGAAAATTTTGACCTCATAATGTGGACCAAAATCTAGCCCTAAGGTAGTTATGATTAAAGTTGAAGCCACTCAATATTAGGATACTTCAATATCAATATGATCTAGATTGTTCTGGACAACATTTTTTCCTTCTGTATACATGTATTATGTAAAATTTGATTCTCTGATTTTGGCCAAACCCTAACAACGGATCCATAGAACTTAAAAATGTTTTGCTTCTTAATATGATTTAGTGTTGTCTTGCGACTCTAATAAAGATTTGTTCCGGTATACTTCCTTATAAGCTCTGGTCCACTATTATAGCCTCAACCTATTGATATGAACAAACTTGAATTTAATCTATCTGAAGACACTTATTTTTCAATATAACAAATAATGGCTTTGCTCTTCATAAGAAGAAGAATTCTTAAGATTTTCTCTATATAATCCTATGTAAAACTCTGATCCCCTGGGGTCTTACCTTAGAATGCTTCCATATGACTAATCATGGCTTTGCTGTTCTCGAGAAAAAAACTTTTAAAAGATTTTTCCTACCTAATTTTCTGTAAATTTTGATTTCATATTGTGACCCCATCCTACCCTTTGGGGTCATGTCAGATTTGAACAAAATCTACACAACCTGAGGATGCTTCAGTACTCAAATGTCTAATCATGGCTTCACTTTTTAAAGATTTTTTCCTACATACATTCCTTTGTAAAACCTTGATTTCCTATTGTGCTCCCCCCCCCCCCCCTTCCCTGTGTCATGATTAAAACAAAGTTGAATCCACACTCCCTGAGGATGGTTCCATATTAATATGACTAATAATGGCTTTGTTCTTGAGTGTCATGATTTGAATAAACTTGAATCTACACTATGTAATGAAGCTTTCACATTTCATCTTTTCTGGCCACGTGGTTCTTAAGATTTTTATATGATGTAATAAAATTTTTACCAATTCTTAATTACCTCCCCTTGAAAGAGGGTATGGTGCTTCCTTTGGTGAAACTTGAATTCCCTTCATCCAAGGATGCCTTGTGGCAAGTTTAGTTGATATTGGCTCTGTGGTTCTTCAGATGAAGTCAAAAATGTGAAAAGTTTACAAACAGACAGATGGACACTGGAAAAAATGTGACCAGAAAAGCTCACTCAAGCTTTCAGCTCAGGTGAGCTAATAATGCAAGGAAAGTATTCAACATTATCTCGAGTGAGTAACAAGAAAATATTTCAGTATCTTGAGGCAAAATACAATAAGTTACCTAGGTAAATAAAGCATATATAGGCTTTATCTTTACCTGTTATTTTCTTCCTTTTTTTTCAAAAATCCCATTTCCATAACTATGGATAGTAACTAAATTGGCAGAAAAGATTTCACCAGCATATTTTTTTTTTTACTTTATCTGGTGAAGATGTTAGTTTCTTCCATTGCCAAGTTTAATGACTTGGTAATATTTCATTTCAAATCAATTCAAACAAATGAAAATAATCTTTCTTAACCATCACTCATAAGTGAGCAAGATACATTTAAGGGGAATTATTAAAAACACTCACATTTGCACTAAAAACCAACATTAACTTGCAGTCATTATAAGAAAACGTCTGTAAATTAATAATTTCATTTAATTTCTATTTTAGTTGGCCACAAGCATACACAACATACATGCTAAAATACAATCATACATAGCAAAAACACATAATAAATAACAGCATTAAAATCAGAAGTGATGCATTGAACGTTAATGAAAAGTGTTAATGCATAGATTACTGCATACAGTTGGACATACGATATTATTCAGCACGGCTACATGGATATGTCAACTTTACAAATTCATTTCTCCCTATCACAAATGGCTGCTTCTGATTAATAATTTATATAACCTCTTATCCAGCCCCTACAATAAACAAACATGAAAACATGGCCTTTTTTCCTCCGAGTTAATTTACAGCTATAGCAGTTAATTTGTTTATGTTCAGACATAATATACTGTAATCATTTAACGACTATTATTTATGACAACTTTTATTCTTCATCCCTGTTTGAAATTTATCCACGACTTCTATTTTTTTTTTTTTTTTTTTTTTTTTTGCAAATGAGGAAACTTTCCATATGGTAAAACAATTCAATAAATGGTTCACTGCAATAAATATCTGCAAGAAATCTAAGGTTCCGGAACCAACATATTTCTTCAAGGCGAATGAAAGTTGGTATACAGTATAATATATACTGGTGATACTCAAGTGAGTATAAAAACAGACATTTAAGGTCTTAAGCAGCATTCAACTTAAAAAATGTTTGGCTGATTCCGGTAAATAAATATTAATAATTTCACAAAAACTCAAATGAAGCAAAATATTTGCCAATGGGAAATCATGTCAAGTATTTCAAATTGATGACTCTTGAACACATACATCTCAAAAAAAAAGTACATGTACAACTTTTCTATACAAATCTATTCATGTATTCAAAATGATAAACAAAAACATGCAAATGAAATTATGTCAATGTTATTTGATCGGAGTCTTTAACATGCATAAAAGAAATGACTGTATACGGTATAAGTGTAAACATTATAGGTGACAGTGTGAGTAGTATGTTGAATTCACATTACAGCACCTATGTAATATTTCAGTACGGTATATTGTCTTCGAATTTCGGAGGGTCTCTTAAAACAAAAACAAAAAAAAAACCACTGTCCATTCTCCAGCCAGCACCCTTCCAAACTGAATTCCTTTGTAGCTGGTGAGTTATTTTTAGATCCTGCCCTGCCTAGAGAGACTACCCACACCCTCAGCATGAACACCCTCCTTCCTTGTGTTCAGGTTCTACTGGGCCTGTGTCCTTCAGTTTAACCTCCGTCACTGAGGTCAAAGGTTAAGGAAACAAAAAATAAATAAAAAAGCAAAAAGCTACCAAAACAAATATTTCACAACATTTAATAACTGATTAAAAAAAAAAATCAATTATTCCCAAATAAAAGAATCAACTTTTTTTCTTGCAAAAATAATCTCCCAGGCAAAATGTTAAACGATGATATATCTGACGTAAGCAGCTGAAGTCTATGTTTATAATACAGGGACATTAAACATTTGGTCCTATGTTTCAGCATATTTTAATGAGTTAAAATTTAAAATTCAAACTAGATGTTATAGTAGCTATAGTGCATGAAAACGATGAGTTCTCTTCATTTACCATATAATAAAAAGACCTCCTTTTATGACGCATCAAGTGTGATGTGTTTACTTTGAATCAAGAACAAAAAAGAAGAAGAAGGAAAGAAATAAAGTTTTAGGTTACAAAATTAATCCTGCTATTATTTTTTTTTTAATTTGCTCTTCTCAAATTCTATATCATGCATAACCAGTACCTGAGTAAGTGTAATCAAGCAATTGATTATCTACTGATGTTCATCAACACTGCCATGCATATTGAAAACAAAGCAATTCATGCAAAAATGCAAACCACTATCCTAATGCAAAGTTTTTATCAGTCATCAAATATTTGCTTTAAATTCTTTAAAAAAAAAAAAAACAAGAAATGCTTTGGTACCACCAAAATCTTTGACCTAGAGTTATTGGGGACTTCCATTTTTGGAACAGCATGATCCCATGAATACAATAACAACCTGCAAATTTTTTGAAATGCTTCAATGAATTAATAAACAACTGAAAATGAAAGCTATTAAGGTTCACTGATACTATGACAAGAGAGGTAACTTCCACTGGGGAGAATGGCTATTATTCCTTCATAAAATTTTAAAGTTTAAAGGCAATTTCTGTCAAATTTTGCCCCCAAAGGTATCCTGAAATTGTGTCCATTTTAGTTGTAAATTAGATTTCTTTTGGAAAATCAGTGTTAAAGCAAAATTTTATTTGAGAAAACAAAGAGTTGATGAACCTGAAGTACTGATTATACCTTTGTTCAGACTTCAGAGGCAACTAAATCTACTCTATCTTGACTTTATACTCCCAAAAAGATTTCATCTTACTATGAGAAAATTATTTTCTTCAAAATCCTATTTTGCAAATCTTCATTCCCACTTCCAAAGCAAGCAGAACTTATAATGCTCAGAAATAAATATAGTCTACTATAAATGTATCTGTTTACACCTTTATGCATAAAAAAAAATCATCTATTCAATATGATACAAATTAATGAGAAAAGTCTATTTATGTATTTAATTATTAAAAGATTTAAATGGTATCCCAATATTATGTCTTGCCCAACAATTACATACAAGCAAAGTTGCTCTGAGCAGAACAGCCCAACTAAGTCATACTTACCATTCAGCACCCATAAAGTTAATCATAACAGGACATAAATAAAGAAAAGGATACTTTCTCCTTTCTTTGTCTCTGTTTGTTCCATTCCCGGTAATGCTGCAGCAACTCGCCTGAACAACTGTATGTAAAATATATACCCCATGATATACACGGTGTCATTTATATAAGACTGATAAGGAATAATTTCAGATTTTAAGAATGCTTTAGTTCCAGCTATTAACTGGCTTTTGAAATTAAACTTGTTGATTAGGTTCAGCTATAACATACAAAGATTAAGTCTTCATTACAAGAATGTTCAACAATGAGAAAATAAATTTAACAGAAAAAATGTTAACCCTCATGAACCTAAAAACACACAAGATTGTAATTTCAAATAGAAACAGTAGAACCTGATTACTACAAAGCCTGGTTAGAGCAACTGTCAATTATGCCCAGTGTTTTCCCTTTCATTCAAAGTAAAGGGTTAGAGATCAATTGTTAACAGGCTTTGAGTTGAAGTTTATGACAAATCTCTGTGGACATTACCACAATTAAATTTTTATTTTTATTTCAAAGCGGCATTTTTATCGATTGAAATGGTTCATTTGGCCAGTAGCTGTTTCTTAGGGAAAACACTGTAAGCCTTGTTTTTTAAGGCTCTAATATGACCTACCTGCTTCACATTGTAACCAGCCTTTGCACTTGTTTCAATAAACATAACACTCAGTTCTTTAGCTTTCCTTTCACCTTCTTCTGTTGTTATCTGCCTGAAAAATTCAAATTTATTCAATGTAGCAATACACCTTACAAGTAGCAAACAACAATGAAAAACAATATTCAAGCCTTGATATGAGAAAACACACATTTAATAATAATTTCTTTTCTTTTCAAACATATACACTGTAAAACATAAATTATAGATAATATATATAGGGAAGGAAAAGTTTTATTACTTTTTGTTATTTTAACATGTTAAAGGAATGAGTTCATGGCAACCAGTGTTGCATTTATAGATCATCATAAAAGATATCCCAGTTCCTCATACAAATACTGGATACAGACCCATTGCAACTATATACATGACAAAATCAGGGTATAAACTTTAGAGGTAATGAATAAATTAATTCCTCGAACAGCCTTCCCTAGGCTTAAATTAAAATATTGTTTGTTCACCCTTAGCCAACCAATCCGGGTAAAGTGCTGATTCAGGTCTCGTGGGTTGATGCTTATACCACTAGGTCTCACTACTTAAAAATTTGAGTTAATAGGTTCTGTCAGCAAGTCGCATACTGCACCTCCTTGTGGTGATCCTGGCCCTAAAATGTCTGGATCCTTACATCTATTTTCATCAAGTTCAATTTTTTTCATAAAAAACTTTTTTGAGGTCATTTAGATACTTTGGTCTAATGTTTCTTCAAAGGTAAAGTGTGACCGTGATGGAGACTTAACAAACCAAAATATAATTTTGGTACATTTGACATCTTAGGAGGAAATATGAGGGTTCAAAAGAAAATATTGACAATTACAGGCTGCTTTGTGATGTTCACTGTTTACAGTGATGAAAAAAATCTGCATGAAGATGTACCCAAGATTTTAAGATGAAAAATTAAAATATTTTCCTACCTACAGTACCCACACATTGTTAAAATCCTGGGTTGGAAAAGGGCAAACAAACATTTTTTTAAAATTTTTGCCCTACTAGCTACCCACAAAATACTTTCGGGCAAACAAGAAATTGTTTTGGACAAAATGAGTTTTGCTATATTTCACATCATCTGTAAATTTTCTTCTGTTTGATCATAAGTCAGGCAGTTTTTTTCCCCTTATGTAACTGGTACATGTATCTATAACAGTACCATTCCCAATGCCTATTTTGAAAGACTAAAAATTCTCATTCAACTGTTAAAGAACAAAGTGTGATGGCATTGTAGAAACTCTGTACAAGTTGACTTAATTTCTCACTTCCTCTTAAATCGAAAGTAGACAGCCCTTCATAAAATGGCAAGATGCATGTCGTAAACAGCCTAGTTCCTTAAATTTTTACAACTTAAAAGCATGAAAACATAAGAACAAGGGACATATATATCATGAATATGCGAAGCAATGATTGCTTGTTTATTTTTTTAAAACGTCCAATAATAGTTAATTAAGTTAGAATAAACGTAAAATAAATGTACTTTGGTGTTGTGACAGATAATACCCCTTTGTTCTATCAGTGTCTATTTCTACGCTGTTTTCCCAATTGAATCGGTACCGGACCCATTCCCAATCAGTAGAAAAAAATTACTGTAACTGTATATATATTATTATTAGTGATGTCAAATCGGTCAATTTTTGATAATCGGTTACTCGGACGTTTTTCCGATCGAGTAACCAGGTACTCGGTAAAAAATGTAAATACAAGTGTGTTAATTTGTTTGAGCCCCGTTAAGCTCTGTTAAACCCCAAAGCTCTTTTTATCACGTTTATAAATGTATATACACATCGATTCCAACGGAAATGATCTTTTGGTACTAAATTTATTTATCAAACACAAAAAACACAATTAATACATCAAAAATTACAAATGGTTTACACTTCTTGTTTAGGATCTATTTCATCAAAAGGAGGACAATCTGTTACGCATGTTTATGATGATTAGACTAGTGAAAGAGAAGGAATGGTCGTTGTTGGGATTGCTGATTGTTGATTGTTTCCCCCGTATACACTAAACTTACTACGCAAATTCATTTTTTTGAATCTTTAGTTAGTTCTAAATATTTCTTCACTTTTGAAGTGGGTAGCGGCATTTCTATGCATGTCCGATTTCACAGCCGTAAATAATTTTAAAATGATTTGAAGATAATAGACCATCGACGTTCACTGACAAACAATCATTGAAGCCATCCAAAAATCAAGGACCACAATAGGTGAGAACAGTGGGGTGATTGGTCACTAATTACTGTATATACACAGCCACAGACGATAACGGGTGTTTTACAGGTGTAGATGACGACACACAAATTATCGTATCCATATTTATGTTATTTTTTGATAAGTTTTTGATAAAAATATGTACTTTGAAATAAGAAAAAATACACATCTGAGTAACCGAGTACCATTTTTAGTATTCGATACTCGGACGTTCGATCGAGTACCCGGTTAACCGGGTACTCGTTGACATCCCTAATTATTATATGTTATTGAATGAATGTCAAGAAATAAGCCCTCCAAGATCTGCATCTTTACAAAGACCAAGGGCTGGTATTTCCCAATATTTAGTCAATAATCTTCCCATAATATATTTTTCAATTCAAAGTTATGCATTCTCTTTCAATTTTTATGCATAAACATCCTTACAACATTAGCAACTGCCAGTACAACTAACATTCGTGACAATACTGAGTACTGTCATTACATGTACATGTATGGAGAGATGGGAAAATTTATTGTGACATCACATATTGTGACATATACAATCTATTGAGCAATATAATGTGTAAGGATACCTTTTATCAGACAGATCTGTTTTATTTCCAACCAACATAATTATGACATCACTTCCTCTCTCGGTCCTGACATCATCTATCCATTTTGATGTCTGTTGAAAAGAGTTTGCATCTACAAAAACAATTATTTAACATTTTGTAGTAAAATCATTTATCACTTTGTAGTACATTTGTATTCATTTACAAGTATTGATGAATATAGAAATTTTTTTTTACAAGCTTGGTCGCTATCACTTTCTGTGTCTTCGGTCAATATCACTTAACATGAGTCCTTATAATCACATATCGACCTACACTGAAGTCCATAATTGTATAATATCATATACCACAATTGCTACAGAGAATTCTGTATACTGGTATAGCTTATAATCAAACCGTACTCACTAGTTATCGCATATGTACCACTATTGCTACAAAAGAATCCTGTAAGCAGCTTGGTATCAAATAGTACTCACTATTTATATCAAATGTACCAATATTGCTACAAAAGAATCCTGTATGTAGCTTGGTATCAAACAGTACTCACTAATTACATTATAAGCAGGGGCAGACAAATAGACTTTTCAACCACTTGTCCAAGGCATGTCCATGGTCAAATTTCACTTGCCCAACTTCAATTTTTACTTGCCCCACCATAAACTATACATTAAAGATACCTCTTATGAAAAAGTAGTTTTAATTTCATATAAAACAACAAATATTTCCTTTAATTCTTTCACTGTTGTCTACTATCTAGCATTTTATATTCACCATAATGAATAAATTCATCACCAAATTGAAAAGTTTTGCAGTCTCAAATTTGCTGTTTTGAATCTTGGTGACAGTTGAAAACTCCCATCAGTAAGTACCAAGTACCATACCATTCATGTCACTATCATATTTCAGCCACAGTCAAGATTCTTGCTATTTGTTAAGAATAATTGTTTCTGTTGTTTTTTCTTTCTCATACTAATTGGTATGAGACAGTTTTGTGGTGCTTTCAGTAACATTGTTATTGATCACTGTTGATTTATATACATGCATGTATACTTATCATCAGCTTCTGATCCCTTTTCTGACTCATAATTGTTTTATTTAAAACTTTCTCCATTTCGCATTTCTTCAAATGCCAATTTGTCAATTTCAGAAAAACTTGCAATAAATTGAATAAAGATACACGATGACACAATTAAACTGGTTCACAAATGAAGTGTGACAAGCAAAGGAAAATAACTCTTACAATAAAACAGTTTCAATTTCTTGTAAAACTATCGATTTTAAAATATTTATTGATTGATTTTTTTTAAGTCACTTTCCCACGGACAAGTGCCTATTAAAAATTCACTTGCCCACCTTTAAAATTCACTAGCCCCTGGCGTCAGGCAATGGGATTTGTCAGCCCCTGATACGTCATTTCTGCTACAGAAGAATCCTTGTTTGTAGCTTAGTATCAAACAGTACTCACTAGTTATATCATAAACCACTACTGCTACAGAAGAATCCTTGTTTGTAGCTTAGTATCAAACAGTACTCACTAGTTATATCATAAACCACTACTGCTACAGAAGAATCCTTGTTTGTAGCTTAGTATCAAACAGTACTCACTAGTTATATCATAAACCACTACTGCTACAGAAGAATCCCATATGTAGCTTAGTATCAAACAGTACTCACTAGTTATATCATAAACCACTACTGCTACAGAAGAATCCCATATGTAGCTTAGTATCAAACAGTACTCACTAGTTATATCATAAACCACTACTGCTACAGAAGAATCCTTGTTTGTAGCTTAGTATCAAACAGTACTCACTAGTTATATCATAAACTACTACTGCTACAGAAGAATCCCGTATGTAGCTTGGAATCAAACTTCTGAACCTCTCTTGTCCAGCTGTATCCCATAGTTGTAGTCGTATCTAAAATTAAAATGTACCAAATACATACATGTGTCAAGAGATAATTTTTTTGATTTTTGGGGGGAACTCCCATTGTTTAACTTCAACTTCCCATTGTTTAACTTCAGCTTTCTACATAACATACAGTGCAGGGAACTAATTTTGTTACATAAACCAGCATCAGCATAAGCAATAGTAGCATCAGGATAGAGCTAGCATCAGCATCAGCATTTAAAAAACAGCATTACCAGGATCAGCATCAGCAAGCAAAGGATAAAACCAGCATTGACCTACATAAAATCAGCATTATCCTACTAGCATCAGAAAATCAATGAGTTTTATTTCAGTAAAAAATTTAAAAAGAAAGAAAGAATATTGGTTAAAGTATTCACATTATTGATACATAGTGAGATATTATGATCAAATAATTGTAAAAGGCACTTTTATTGCTTTAAACGGCAATGCTGAAATTCATTATCTACTTCCGGTAGCATGATGCTACTTCCGGCAGCACTGACCTAATTATAAAACAGCATCAGGATAAGGATTACTAGCATTAAATCAGCAAGCAAAGGAAGCATTCAAATCAGCAAGCAAAGGAAGCATTCAAATCAGCAGCGATGCTGTAACAAAATTAGTTTCCTGCACTGTATCACACTTGTAAAATAAGAGTGTTTTAACACAGATGTCACTTGCAAGTACTCCTAAGTAATACAGGTAACTCTTGATACCTTGAAGTCTGTAGGACTGCAGAAAAACTTTGAGAGATCAAGAGTTCAAGTTTTCAAAAGTCTGGAATTTTCCGGGTTGAATGACAGATTTTGAACTTAATCTAACTGGACGTTATGATTCCATTCATTTCCAGTGTAAATCTTACACATGTGCTCTAACAACGATGAACATCATGTTTGAGGGATCAAGGGTTTCAAGAGATTTAGAGTTCGAGAGATCAAGAGTAAATTTGCTTAGTTAAATTGGGAAAAAAAATCGGGACCAGACACTTACTTCCAGCGATCAAGAATTTTGAGAGATTGAAGTTTGAGCCATCAAGAGTTATCTGTATCAGAAATTATACACGAAATTTTATCCACAGGACAATGGTAGGAAATTTTTATGCAGGTGAAATAATTACATACATAGACAGAATTATATGTAAGTATTGTTTGACTACAGACTATATTAACACAAATTTCCATTTTTTTTTTTTTTTTTTGAAGAAGGAAACATTCTGCTTAATTCTAAGAAAAGAATCAAAACCTTAGTTAAATCATGCTCTGTAAGACTTCTAACAGTGTGAAATGACTGCCAAGCTATGTTTCTATCAGTGGCATATATACTTACAGTCCTATCCTCCAAATACATTGTCTTTGATAAAAAGTCAATTCCTATTGTTGCCTGGAATGATAAAAAATATTAGAACTTCTTGTTATTCAAAACATATTTTTACTTAAATTGAAAGGTATAGTTCTCCAATATTTTTTTTTTTTTTTTTTTTCAGTCTTTCTATCATAAAAAACATATGAAACATGGATATTAAATTGCCAATACTCCCTATTATGTACATATAAAACAGAGAAACACGGTTCTTTGATCACAGTTCTGACAACAGAAATATAAATCTTTTATTTCTGGATCAAAATTAGTTTGTACAGACTGCAGCATATTGACTAATCTATTGATTTTTTTCCCCCTAAGATCATGACATTTGGTTTCAATACTGTGCCTGTACATGTAAAGAAAATTGCTTCTGAAATCACGGGGCCTTGTACTTTATACAGATATAAATGGCCCTTCGAAAATAGGAGTACCAGGCAGTGTCAAACATCAACATTTCAAAGTTGAAGGACTGATAAAAAATCTTTTTTTTTTTTGTAAACATCTAGGAGTTTGGAATAACTGAATTGATCAACAGTGATCAAAGTCCAATATATTTGAATTTTTTGCAAGAAAAATTTAAGTGTTCCTCTAACTCGAAACATCATAGTTACATGTATACAAATACAAACTTTGCCATGGTTGCCATTCTGGGATACACTATGTACAGATGTAACACAGATTGACAATATTTTTGAACAATTTTTTTTTTTAAATACAGCATATGAATAATTCAAATGACACACAAGAAGGTTAAGCAAAGCTCTGCAAGCCAATTGAGGTGACTGACTTGTGATAATCAGACTTGTAGAAGTTTTATGTTCAACTGATTTTTCAAGAATTTATATGTTGACCATCTTTTGAGATAAATCACATATTTATATATATCTGTATAAAATATTAGAGATAAAAGTAAAACCATTAAATGAAACATACAGTTACGAATTATTACCTGATAGGTGTTGTCGAAACTGTCATACATAAACCTTGTGATTAGAGAGGTCTTCCCAACTGAAACAAAAAAAAAAATTGGAACTTCAAGATAAGATCAAGACAACAAAGCAACTTATTATACATAGTATAATCTCATCAATGAAAAAGTAAATCAAAATTTTATGCAGTTCATGAATGTCAGCACTGTGGTTCTAAGGAATGATATAATAATATGTCTGTATGATTAGGGGAAAAAACTGTATATGTATGGATGAATGTGTTAATAGTTTTATGAATCCCTTGTCTAAGAAGAAATAGAGACAAGTACATGTATTTTTTTTTTTACATGAAATGGTAAATAAATATCATCTTACCTCCCATTTCACCAAAAAATGATAATTTGAATTTGTCAATTCGATTCCAGTCATTCATTTTATAAATCTGATTTTTTTTTAATTAGAAGCGTGAAGTCGTGTTTCCCTGGTCAGAATTAACTGTGTCTCCACGCTGGAAGTAGGCAACGAAATATACACAAGTGCATGACTCATAATCAGATCATGTTTTGTTTACAAATTCGAATTTTTTCCCATTCGGAACACCCGATGCAGAAGACCTTTTTAAACCCCAATGGAAAATGTTAGGGGCAACAAATGTGATAGACCCAGCCCTAATCGAGACGTTGCAGGATATATGATGAGATTATTTGACACATAAACTGACAGGTTACTCACCGCTCTGTTCCCCTAGAAATACCAGCTTGAATTTCCTTAACGGGTTGCCAAATTCACCCGAGGAACTCATCGTGAAATTTCTTAATTGTTAATATCACAGTTAAAGATACAGATCTGCAAATAAATCACAAATCTCATATATATTAAATTAATTATAATCAGTCTTGACGTAGACACGTTTGATGAACCAATTCTAGGCAGTGCGCTTGCGTGAAAAAGACGGAAGTGAGTTCTTGGTCATAACAGCGTTTGCTAGGTTTAGGCGCGAAAATTTGAACAAGTTTGCCTACTGCTTATACAAAAGTAGGAGAGTTCTCTACCTGGATTCTCTTAACAAAGTCCTTTTAAATATAATGGGTTTTTTTAAGTTCAGTGACCTAAATAAAATTAAAGAATACAAGTTGTACATTTTTTTTAAATTGTAAACCACAAAAATGATTGGATTCTAAAATAAATTCTTCCTTTCTTAATAGATGTATTCATTCTCTTGTGTTTCTTATTCTTTTTTTAGTTTCTCGGACAAAAATACTTTTTTCCTGTTCATTTTTATGTTGCTGGACATATTTTAATCATTTCCTGATCAATGGAACATCTGCATTGTGTTAATTTTTTTAAATTAGGAGACGAATCATCATATCCTCATTTTTTCTTGATTTTGTTTACAGCCCTTTGCGCCTCTTCTTGGTCCCGAGAAGAAACCACATCAATTGCGAGGTATCTTATCAAGGGTATCAGTATTTTGATGTTGCGCTCCTAGGTGGTGTTCGATCAACATAAGATATGTACTTAAGGTAGTCCGATCCGATCCTCAGGTTTATGAAAATCAGCCTTCAAGTAATTGAAAATGCTACAAAAATGTGTCTAATTTCACATAGTAACGTGAATTTACCCATGGAATTTCTTCAAAGTTCATAATTATAGTTAATCATATAGGGGAAATTATCAAATCTCAAATATATTTTCAGGAAATGCGAATAAAAACACAAGCTATGCATTTTCTAATTGAAAATTGATCAATAAATTTAATTTAGGATAGAAAAATATAGGTGTCCAGGCATTTGGAGAAAATTGCATCCTTTTTTATGCTTATACAGTATTTTAGTTCTTTTTTTTTTAACTTCATTTTTTTTAACTTCAATTGTCATATATTACATAGTGTAAATAGCTTGTGCTATCATAGCTAGACATCACGTATATCAAATCTAATTTCATATCATGCTAATAAGCAGTGGTATCTAATGCTAGACTAAAGGAAATTCGATTTCTCTATATAAAAATGAATTCTTTTTTTTTTTTTCCTTTTATGGGGTACAAATGTCTACTTTTTACAAGACCGTTTCTAAGACTTCAAAGCCCGAACCTTGAATTATATTAAGATGCATAAAATGAAAATTGTTGCACGAAAAGATCTCAATTTCAAGCTTTATTTTGAGACTTTTTAAATAAAATAATAAATTTAAGAGTTATCCTTCCTGAATGAGGATCTGATATCCTTAACACCTCAAACCATATTGCCAGGCAACTTTATGAGACTTTGAATTTCCATAACCATTCCATGTAACTACAGTTCGCTCTCACACAAATTCTTTTTGTCCTTGAAAGAACTCAGTGCCATCACTTTGCCAAAACGAATGACTGCAAAGAGTTCCTGGTAAAACATTTACTTTTTATCACTCCAGGACAAGGTATGACTAGCATAGGCAATCACTTTGTCGTGACTTTCTTGTTCCCGAGAAAATAGAGCACAGCATCTACAGTATATAAAGTCTAAGTGAAATCGGGGTGGTTTGATACATGTACTGGAGAAATTAATTATATTGGGTTATAATAGGTTAAACACAATCATCAGTGTAAATATATCCCCTCTTTCTCAGTCAACTTATACAGTCGTTTAGCAATCTTTGCGAAGTCCTGTATAAACTTATACTATAGTGCCCACACAGTACAAGAAAAGACCTAATCTCACTAGCTTTTGGTAAGCACTAGCTAGTTTTTCACTTTCTCTATCTTTCAAGGATCTGTCCTTCTTCAGAAATCACATGACCCAAGAACTTTGCAGATCTCTAAGCAAATTTCGTTTCTTCGCCTTTAACTTCAAACCAGGTGATTGAAGTCTGTCAAAAACTCTCCCTAAATTAAACACCATTACACCGAACGTTTTAACCATAAAGATATGATATCATATTAACTAAATGTAGGCCCACATACCATTATAATTCTGCCAATATAATTTCCATTAATTTCTCAGACTTAGCTGATGCAAAAAAGGCATCGTTCAGAACTGAAACAGTCCCCTGTGGGTGAAGGTTATTTTTAATATGCTTGTTGGGGGTGGGGGTGGGGGGGGGGGTGGGGGTCGCAAGTTTCATCTGTCGATATTTGTAAACATCGCTAATTAAGGTGGATAACTAGATGTAACCAAAGATTCGTCAATCCTGGGCAAGGGACATGCGTCTTTATAATTGTGCAAGCTTTAAAGGGATATGGACTCATATGCGTTGTCCTCTTATTTTCTACATTTATTGTACAATAAACATAAGAGTAATGATCTTAACTTTCCTTAATTCTTTAAAATATTCAATCAGAATGATATTCTTCATAACCTTACATATAACATTGTTTATGTTTAACTTCTACCGGGTGTGTTCGATTTCGTAACACTGTACAATCATTGAACACAAACAGGAAGCACTGGTGTGTTCCGTTTTTAATTTGCTTTCATTTATTTCTGTTCTGATTTTTCTTAGTCAGAGTTTTAAATTAATATCTTTTAACAATACATTACAAATTTCTCGCTTAAATACACATATTGCTATTAATGTATAGAACTTTATTTTCGCGTAACTACGCGAGACGGTATACTCGCTAAATTTTTATTCTCGCATATATTAGTATTCCATAAGATTATTAAGAGCAAAAACCACAATTTGTGAAATTTTTGTCTCACTTCTAAAGAGTCAATGACTATCTCGCGAAAATAAGGTGTCGCGAAAATTTAGTGATCTACACAGTATGTGAGCGGATCAAAGGATCTGATTTTAATCAGATTGAATCGATGGGCCAAGGTATTTATATATCTTGAGATTTGTTGGAAAAAAGTTTTGTCAAAAGCTTGGGGACAGAGTCCGACAGACTATAATCTTCTTCCGTAGCGCCCAGACCTATAGCCAGATGGTAACGACTTTGAAAGTTGCGGTTGGGGAATTCTATAAAGAGGGAAATACATGTAGGTATTGTTCATTACTAGCGAAAAAAAGAAGACATTTTGCCACATCTCGATTGTTTCGAACATTTGCCAAAACATAACTCCCTATAGCTGTTTTTCCTAAATTTTACAATTTTTTAAATCGTACAAACGATTTCCTAAATGATAAAATCGACTTTCTAATTTGTACAAACTATTTTTTTACGGAAGCCCTGGAGGGACATTGACTTACTTGTTATGACTTATTTGTTATAGCTTATTTGTTGTAACTTATTTGTTATGACTTTTTTGTTGCTGGTTATAACCAAGTGTAACGTATCTATGAAGAACGTGCAGCTTGGCTCAATTTTATTATTAAAATGATATGTTAAGTCCTAGTTTAACTGTGGTTTTTGATTTATTAATTGTAATTTAATGTCCAGTACAGTTGTGATAAATTTATCTGTAATATCTTATAACTCAGTTGTTATAACTTAATTGTTATTTGTTTTTCTCATTTTGTTTCTTGTTACTTAATAGTTATTACTTACATTTTTTTTTGAACTTCTAGTGTGCATAACGATTGAACACATAAACATATATAGTCATTAGTTAAAAATTCAAAGGCAAAATATCCCTTTCTTCTTTTCTGAAACTACACGTAGCCTCCATTTTGTACGCCACGTTTTGAGGCTTTAAGTAAACGTGTGATGACAAATGTAAAAAAAAAAAAAAAAAAAAAAGAATTAACAATTAAGTCATAAGAACTAAGTCAAAACACCTAAGAAGCAAGTCAATGTCCCTCCAGGGCTTCCGTATTTTTTAGATTGTACGAACGACTCATTTTTTACCTACATTTACCATTTGAAAACAAACGATTTTCTGTTCAAAGTTTCAACAGTTCAAAAACGGTACAAACGCCATCGTAGATACCCTTTATTTTGTACTTGAAAAAACAAACAGACACAAAAACATTTTTCTTTAAAATGCAAATGATGTATCGTACCAGAGACATGAATAATAATTTATCTCTGGTCGTAGCTATGGCATGTCAAACGTTGCAATATTCGATCTTTTCCATTTGCATTGTATAATTTTCCATTTGTATTGTATAATTTTTATTTGTATTGTATAATTTTCTATTTGTATTGTATAATTTTTCATTTGTATTGTATAATCTTTATATGTATTCTATAATTTTCTAATTGTATTGTATAATTTTCATTTGTATTGTGTAATTTTTATTTGTATTCCATTATTTTTCATTTGCATTGTATAATTTCTTATTTGTATTGTAAAATTTCTTATTTGTATGTGATAATTTTTGATGGTCATTGGATTCTAAAAAGGGAGCGCTGGTTTTTGTTTGTTTGTTTATTGTTTAACGTCCCTCTCGAGAATTTTTCACTCATATGGAGACGCCACCACTTGCCGGTGGAGAGCTACAAATTTTGACCTATACTCAGCACTGAGGGTCATTGAGCAGTGAGGGATCTTTTTCGTGCCAGCACCTACTGTGACACGGGACCTCGGTTTATACGGTCTCATCCGCCGGTCTCCACGTCCCACAGTGGGATTCGAACCCGCGACGTAAGGATCAATTCCTTACGCCGCGACTCTAGAGCGAACGCTCTAACCACTGCGCCGCGCGGGCGACTGGTCATATTGGAAATAAATATTCTTTCCTGCAAGAGAATGAAAATAAATAATCGGATTCGACACCCCCGAGAATCAAATGGTCGTCCCTTAGCATGCACTGCAAATAGAGGAGCCGAGTTTGTGTTTGTAGAGAGTGCGCAATCGGAATTGTGGGAAGGGTACCAGACTAGTGTGTATGTTGGGCACCTGAGACCTTTATACAGACTAAATTTTATGACCAATGACATCCTTCGTAACGAAATAAACAATCCTCGGATACAATACAAATGAAAAATTATCGCATACAAATAAGAAATTATACAATACAAATAAGAAATTATACAATGCAAATGGAAAATATAGAATACAAATGAAAAATTATACAATACAAATGATTTTTTTACAATACAAATGGAAAATATAGAATACAAATAAACATTATACAATCCAAAAGGAAAATTATAAAATCCAAATGGAAAATTATAGAATACAAATAAAAATTAAACAAATTGAATACAAATGGAAAATTATACAATACAAATGAAAAATTATACAATACAATTGAAAAATTATACAAGACAAATAAAAATTATACAATACAAATGGAAAAGATCGAATATTGCAACGTTTGACATGCCATACATAGCTCCTTTACGACTTCACTTAAGTACGAGATCTCCTGTGAGGCAATTGGAATTCTTCTAGAAAATGAGGTACGAAAAGCCGATACCGACATCCATTTTTGTTGCTTCGTACATCACTCACATGATTTCAGTGTCATTTCCCGAGAAACTACACAGATAAAAAGTTTCACAGATGTAAAGACTGTAGTATGACGTGTAAAGATGCCAAGTTTACTCCTTTATTCTGGTTGACGAAAAGAGAATTAGGACACAAGATATCAAGCGTAGAAACAAGGAGTTTCCGCGGTGGTTTATATTCGTCTTTGAAAGCCGTTCATAAGTGGGACCCACAAAAGACAGTTGACTCCACACATCATGGAGGAATATTTAATTTTGATTTTTCTCCAGACGGGTAAGATTTCCTGTCTCAGAATTGTTTTTTAGTTGTTGAACGTCACATTTTAACAGGGATTCAATCCACCAGATGTCATTTATGTTGTGACCTGTGCATGTAATGATAGTTGCATATCTATAGCTCACTGGTCTGACAAAAATTATGATGGATGAACAGAGTGCTACAGATCCACCCATTTAAAAAAGTGTGTATAATAGTGAGCGCAGCGAGTGGCACAAAGCGCCTCTCGTCACTGCAAGCTCCTAAAGCTTAACGCCTGGGCAAAGAGAAAATTTGGACTTCGCACATTGACCCAAATGTTTTTTTTTCCCGCAGTAAGCTGTGGTCCCATAATGCTTTGTGAATTGCATCTCGATGCAAACTACGTTCTCGTGGTAGTAACAAAAGTTCAGCAAAAAATAAAATCACATCGATTTAATGGTTAGGCCAAACAAAAAAATATGTGTGGTTCCGGTTACACCTCCAAAAAAATTAGGGTAGGTAGGTAGGGATTTTTTTTTTTTTTTTTTTTTTTTTTTTTTTTTTAACAAAATGATTTTCTTAATTTTTCTAAATAATACTTATCACTACTTTGCAAATGACATTTAGATGTGTTGTGATAATATACTAGTCAATATTGGTAGGGGACACCTACATGCTAGCTTGCTTTGGATTTAACACTAATAAACACTTGCACTATGTTGTGCAAGGGGGCCATCATTGCTGAAATTAAAACTTAAACCGGAGCCATTGATGGAAATTGGGGAAAATTCTGGAAAAAATATGAAAATTGCCAAAAAAAAGTTTAGGGTCGGGGGTATAAAATAGGGACGGTCGGGTAACCGGAACCACACATATTTTTTTTTATTTGGCCTTAATATTGCAAAAGAACAGTAGAATAAACGTTTTTTTATGAAAACTAGCAATGTTCAGACTTCATTTTGGTAATGCAACTTACATACGACGTCATGTGACGTCAGAGTGTAGACATACCAAATGTCACGTGTGGTTTAAAGAACCCGATCTAAATTAAAACTGAATAGGTATCTGTGCTCACCCTAATGGTCGCGTGGTCAACATATTATTTGCATTAAAAATTGTGCCTATAGTTTAAAAGTTTCATCTCTGTATATTTAAGCTATCATGTGAAAATGTTACCAGAGAATATATATATATAACCAGATGTCATGTACAAGAAATTCACAACTGTTTGAAATATCACAATTTCTTATGAGCCAAAGGCTTAAGGTCAAGATCTAGTAAATGATTTTAGACTGCATTTTTGATGCTAGATCCATTATGACATCATAATCAAATTAAACTTTCTTTTTTCCCGTACTTTACGGCTATAATAGAATTATGTAGAAAATAAAGTATTTTCCTGGAATTCAATTTGAAATCGTGAAAAGTAATCCCGAAACCTATATTCAATTTAATATTATTTTAAGGAAGAGGCCAAGAACATACAAATTACCGTTTTCTGAGAGACTGTAGGCAATCTGGATACATTTAATTTGTCTGATATGGAAAAAACTCCCATATTCATGACTGATTTTCCTAATTTTTCAATAAAAATGACAGTTTAATATATGATTTTTCGTCTTGTTTACCTACAAATTATGCCCCGAAATACCTTATTTGACCAAGCTATATTTATAAAGCTTCATTAAAGGAATTTATTTCTTAAATTTGAGAAATCTGTAGGCTCCTTTTATGTACTAGATCTTGACCTTAAGTGAGCTTTTCCGATCAAAAAGTGTCCAGCGTCCCTCCACCATCTAGTTTGTTCACAGGAAGTGCCACACCCTCTTTCAAGTGGAGATAATTGAGAATGTGAAAATCTGAGGGTATCTTTTTAAAATCTTCTTTACAAGAACCACTGGGCCAGAAAAGGTGAAACTGAAACTTGTGTGAAAGCTTCATTACATACTGTGGATGCAAGTTTATTCATATCATGACAACTGTGGAATAAGGATAAGACAGGGTCCAAACAGAGGATCAAAGTTTTACATAAAAATATAGGAAATATCTTTGAAAATCTTCTTCTCAAGAACAGAAAAGCCACGATAAGTCATTTTGATTAAAGAAGCATCCTCGGTAGTGTAGATTCAAGTTTGTTCAAATCATGACCTCAGGGGGAAGGGCGGGGCCACAATAGGGGATCAAAGTTATACACAGGAATATATAGGTAAAATCTACTTCTTAAGAACATCAAAGCCATGATTAATTATATGGATATAAAAGCATCCTCAGGTAGTGTAGATTTAAGATTGTTCAAATCATGACCCCTGGAGGTAGGGTGGAGCCACAACAGGGGATCAATATTTTACATAGGAATAGAAAGAAATATCTTTAAAAATGTCCTTAACATGAACAGCAAAGCCAAAAATTAGTCATATTTGTATACAGTTTGTTCAAATCATGAACCCCCAGGGCCATAATTTGTGATCAAAGTTTTACATAAGAATATATAAGAAAAAGAATCTGCTGTTAAAGAACAGAAGGACCATACTTATTCAGGTGAGTGTTGTGGCCCATGGGCCTCCTGTTATTCATATGTACCCTGTAAATCTAATCATTCTTGTCTGTTTGCTAGGTGTTTTTTCTTGTGCCTCTGGCTGTGTTGATGAGGCAGTGACATGCAGGACTGATCCTCGTTTTATTTGTAGGTCATTGTTAGCAGCAGCCTGTGAGGGTCAGAGTATCCTGCTCTTTGATCCGTTCAATGGACGCCTTATCGGAGAGAAGAGTAAAGCTCATACTGACTGTGTTAACATTGTCAAGTAAATATATTCTTATACTTACTTTGAATCAAACACATTTCAAACAAAGCAAAGTCTTTAATTGTTGAAAAATTTAGAACTGAAATACCGTAAATCTGGAAATTTTTACGTCGATTTATTTTTGCGAATCTGGGTCAAAAAGCTGTTGATTAATTTTTACGTTTCAAAATTTTGCGAATTGCCATTGGTGTTCAATTGAAAAGCGCTTAAAATTTTCAAAACAGTTTATACGTAACGCATGTACATACAATAACTCATGCATGTACTCGTACGTATACAATATTAAGCGATTCCAACGTTCAATAATCAGATTAAAAATTACGCATATATACATACAATAAATTACGCATGTACATACAATATTAAACGATTGCAACGTTCAATAATCAGATAAAAATATTAAAAGCAATAAAACATCTAAACTGTTTAAAGTTGTCATAACATTTTATTGAATCACGCATGTACATAAAACGATGTCAGCTTTAACTAACCTTCAGATAAAAACATTCTCTTCCGGGTATAAGAAGAGAAATAACGTCTAATTAATATTGAATTATATAATATATATATAAAACTGCCCTCTCTTTCTTGGAGAAATAATTGAAAAGAGACATGAATGTAGTAAAGACACTTTCTATGCACGGATTATCACGGGTAATTAGCTTAGTATAAACAGGTTTCTTAAATTGGTTACTGCTTATGAACACCTGTTCACTGGGTTAAAAAAATAGCCACCAGCTGTCAGCAAACTTTTTGTTTACATTTTTTGTTGTTGATTTATTTTTAAGAAAAATATTTTTGCGAATGCAATGTACACGCAAATTTGCTAAAAATTTATCTACAGTAAAAATTTCCAGATTTACGGTAATTTGTTGACGAAGAAAATTTTTACAAAGGTAGCATTTTTCATCTTAATGTTTTAAAAATTGTTGATAATTTGTGCCATTTTATAATTGCATTTTATTTAGAGATATTTATGTTCAATCAGTGTATTATAATATGTAAGATGATGAAGTGCTGAAATTTTGTTTTAGATTTCTTGACTCGAGGTTGTTTGCCACATGTTCAGACGATTCAACTGTTGCATTATGGGATGTTCGATTCTTGAAACAAAAACTTCATGAACTGAAAGGTCATACAAATTGGGTCAAAAACATTGAATATGACCGAAACACAGGTCTTCTTGTCACCTCAGGTTTTGATGGCAACATTTTTACCTGGGATATCAATAGGTAAAGTGATAATTGGGAAAATGAAACAATATATATTGATATCCTGGGCCACGTTTTACAAAAGAACTTATGGCTTAAACCAAAATGTAATTTTGCAAATAACTTTCTAATTTACATATATTTCAAAAATGTTTTTAATCTTTTCATATTCTTTCTCTTTTTCAAAGATTTTATAATCAACTAGACTTTTTGGTCTTAGTCATAAGTTCTTTTGTAAAACAGGCCCCTGGTTTCTACTTTAAGAGCTTGAAAACAAACATGGAACAGAGTTAATGGAAATAATAGTTATTTAAAGCTGTTTTAACATGATGTTGATTGACTGTTCTGTAGGAATAAGCTCAGTATGTCCTTTATAGGTATTCTGACACAGAAACAAAAGGCACAAAGGTCTTTACGTACAAATTGTTGATGCGATCAAAGCTCTCCCCTGACTCCTCCAAACTTGTTGTGTCAACTCAAAATGGATACATCATTGTGATTCATGACCTTGACCTGCTAACCTTAGCAGATGACCTTAAAAATTTCCCAGCCTATGGTTCACCAGCATCATTTCCTTTCCAAAGAAATCAGAGGCGTAATAGAGTGGAGCTGATACGCGAGTGGCCATCAGGAGATAATGCCAGTGACATAGCTTCCTTACAGGTATGTAACATGACTTAGTCTTATTACAGGTAAAGGGCATGACATTGCTTTTTTATAGGTATGTGACATAGCAGTCTGACTCAGGTAAGGGGCATGACATTGCCTTCTTATAGGTATGTGACATAGCAGTCTGACTCAGGTAAAGGCATGACATTGCCTTCTTATAGGTATGTGACATAGCAGTCTGACCCAGATAAGGGCATGACATTGCCTTCTTATAGGTATGTGACATAGCAGTCTGATTGCAGTAAGGGGCATGACATTGCCTTTTTATAAGTATGTGACATAGCAGTCTGACTGCATGTAAGGGCCATGACATTGCCTTCTTATAGGTATGTGACATAGCAGTCTGATTGCAGTAAGGGGCATGACATTGCCTTTTTATAGGTATGTGACATAGCAGTCTGACTGCATGTAAGGGCCATGACATTGCCTTCTTACAGGTACATAACATGAATGTCTCATTGTAGGTAAAGGGCATGACATTGCCTTCTTATAGGTATTGACATGACAGTCTCATTACAGGTAAAGGGCATGACAAAGCCTTATTATATGTATATGTATGTAATACGCCTAGTCAAACCTCAAACTGGTAAGGGCTGAGAAATAACTTTGAGATATCCGAGATTAAAAAATATGTTTATTAATTTTCAGGTCCACCCACAAGGTTGGTGTGTCATGTCCAGGAATGTTAGTAGAGACAAGAAGTCAGAGGTAGGAAAATGTGCAGTCAATTTATTTAAAAATTTTAAAGGACTTTTAATACACAATACATAAATTAAATGTAATTGAATGTTGGTCTTTTATCTAGTGGACCTGCATACATGACCTGCAGGAGTCCATCAAAAGACGGGAATCTCAAGAGTTTTCTGTAATGCCCCACACCTCTTGTGGTCAGTCATCATCAACGTACACTCCAGCTTCTGCCTCTACTGCTCCCACTACAATGGTCACTACAGCCCCTCGCACTTCCACCTCCCAAGGAGCTTCCATCAGAACCCAGACAGCACCATCTATTATCATAAATCCTACCTTCTCTGAAGATACTGCTATGGGAACAGTCAGTGCACCTTCTATTGTTATCAATCCACCAACTTTCAGCGTGGAAAGTCGACAAGTGGGAGAAAACTCCACTAGGACTGTAAGAAATGGATCATCTGCTCTGGTGATTAATTCCAACCCATCTAGTGGCTCAGAAGATTTCCAGTCTTCTGTGACAATTCATATTACCTCTCAAGCTGGGCATTCCACAAGTCAGCAGGGGAGAAGGAACCCTTCAACCTCATTTGAATCTTCTCCCTCTAGTTCAGTGGACTCGAATCCTCACCTGGAATGGGTGCTGAATCACCCCAGTGACAGGGATATTGAGTCACTGCTTCACGACGACATGAGTTCTGACTCGAGTGCTGATGACAGTGACGTGGAGATAATGGCTCCAGAGAGTCAACGGAATGTGGATAATTCCTCTGACAATCCACAGTATCAGGATCTTGTTGCTCTCATTGTCAGGTATGATGTCAACCGAGGTATTATTGATGTCAACCACCGGGTACGTTTAGGAAGCTCTTATGAGAGCCCAAACTCCCGAACAACTGACAGACTTTTGTATTACACAGAAGAACCCAATGTGGCTAGAGGATTCATAAAGGAGCTGTGCTTTAGTTCTGATGGACGACTCATATGTTCTCCATTTGGATTTGGTGTTCGACTTCTTGGATTTGACCCTTTGTGTAGTGAACTTTGTGATGTGGTGCCCAGTCAACCAATTAGACTTTATGAAGTAGCTAACTGCCTTTCACATAGTAATATAGTTGTAACTTGTAAATTCTCCCCTAGACATTGCATGTTTGTGTCAGGGTGTCTTAGTGGCAAAGTCATGTTTCATCAACCTGTTCTTTAAAAATTGCGGGTGCTTGTTTGCCTTGGTTAGTTTTGTTTTAAGTTTTTCTTGTTTGTTAATTAAAAAAAAAGTCAGGCATGATTTTATTTCATCTACATCACATGTGCATTTTTTATGGCTTAAGAATGTTGAAACTAATACAGTAATAAAAAGTCCTCAGCAATAACTTCTATTTTAATTAATGGAGAAGATACTGTACAATTAAAAAAATCTGTGGTTGTTGAATTTTTTTGATAAAATCAGTTCAGTCAGTGTCAGGTTTTGAATCAATTACACTGCAATGAAATGCATTACATTACAATTACATTACATTTCAAATCTGCATTTACTTATACCACTGATTTTTATTTCACATTAGTTATGCATTACAATTACTTTGTTTTGTGTAATATAATGCATTATACATTACTTAAAAAAAAATCTTGGTGCAAAATTTTGTTTATATGTATGATAGTGTCAGCACTTTTACTGTAAATTTTTTTTGAAATTTCTTTTGTTACTGAAACATTTTGTTAAGATGTTGTTTATGTGTGAGACTAGGATAGTTTTAATGTTATTATGTTATCACTTATAATTTAATCATTAACATTATCCCAGTCCTGATCAACATTACAAAACATTTTTACTAAATTCACAAAAACTTAAGCGTCATCTCATGCACTGGAGTATCACTGATTTTTAGCTCATTTGAAATATTCCTTTAGCCTACATAATCCACATGATTTATGAAGTATAAATTCTTCATTGATAATGTTGATTTCATTAATTTAATGCAGAAACTTGGAATTTCAAACATGACTTTGATATTAACAACTGCCTTTTGAGCATTAAAAAAAAACTATTACACTGAAATGAAATCACAGCAATGCACTAAATTACACATGGCTTGATCAACATAATAAAACATAATTTATCTATCCTCGCTAAATTTACCAAAAAAATTAAAAATGCAAGTGTTTTAATTTCTACTTGTAAACTGTCAATGAAATGGCAAAACTATAAAGGGCAAATGTTAACCTTAAAATATGGTATTTCATAAATCATTTGTTTTAAGATTTTTCAATTATTTCAATATTTATTATGTATGGAATCAATAATATTACTGTTACATGTATTCTACATTTACCTGCTGGCATTGAAATTTGAAGGCAATTATTTAACATTCTGTCAGAGCTGGAGCATCTAGCCCTAGTTCCCTTTAGATTTATTAAGTTCCCAAACAATGTTTGGGAACATATATTGTTTTACTTTCTTTTTCAAATTTCACCGGCGGTACTTTTTTGTCCAGTTTTTTTGTCTGGGAAACTACTCATTCAATAAAGATGAAACATTTTTAGGGTAAACAGACATGTAAATGTACAAAACGAAGGTCATTTTGTGCATGTGTGAGGAGTGCAATGACTGATTTAATTAAAATAAACCATAGACCTAAAGCAAACGTAACATTCCTGTTTTTAATGAATGCTTTGAAAGTCAGTTTATAATCTTACATTAGTAGCGAAGACAAGATGATATGGGTGAATTAGTATGAAAGCAATGCATGCAAGTGTGCTTAGCTCTGATTGACTGACATAAAAATCCCAGGAATTTCTTACTTTTGGACAAAATGTTTTGAAATTTAAAATATAGCTATATAATATGAGGTTCTACAATATGGTGTATACAAATATTCTTAAAAACATGCATGTATTTGATTGGATGGAATTTGAAGTATAACATTCTTAATTTTCAACAAAACTTAAGATGAAATTTAGAACATAAATTAGTATAATGTCTTCCAACACTATTGTACTATGGAATTTGAATGCAAGAGCATGCATGCACGTGTGCTGAATTCTGATTGGCTGATATATGCAAGAAATAGAGAAAACAAGTGCATACAATTGCACTGAAAACTTCTAGGCTAATTAGTAAATGCTCATATAACTCTTCCATGATTGTTTTCCGATAAAGTATTTTGTAAAATAAGGTGTAAATTCATAATACAAATGTTGAAGGTTGTATGGAATGAGGCTCCATAAGGGGGTAATGGGAGGACATCTGTAATGGTACCTGTTACAATTAACATTATGGTTAATGTTTGTTTTTGTTTTGGTGCTCTTGTGTTGTAATAGCTGTTTATCAAATGGGGACAGTTTTTCTTTTGTTTTTTGAATTCACAATTCACAGTATCAGAAAAGATCAGTTAAAACAAAGAAAATTACACTGCATTTCAAATTGAAGATACATGACTATGACTACAATGATGTGAGGATATACATATGTTTGTGTGTATATTTTTTATATCATAATGTCAAGTATTCATTTCAGTCATTCACATTGTTCAGTACTCGGCACATATGTTTATTTTCAAAAGCATAATATTTTCCAGGGAAAGTTGTCTGTATTTTTTTTAATCATTAGAAAATGTATTTTTCCTACAGTTTTTGTCAGATTTGAATAAACCTTTATGCAAAATTATGTTATCTACAGATTTGTTGCTACATGTATTGATTTGAGTCACTGACAAATGTACTTACATTTTTTCTTAGTCCAGATCTGGATCGAAAGATACAGCCCTGTCCCAAATCTTTAAATACCATTTTTTTTTTTACAGTTTATTATACCCCCGCTCCGAAGGAAAGGGGATATACTGTTTTACCCTTGTGGGCCTGTCTGCCTGTCTGTGTGTCTGTCCGTAACAAAATTTGGTCACAGTTTTCTCGGCAACTACTCATTGCAGATGCTTGAAATTTTAGCACACTCTTTGTTTAGGCATGCCATATGGTGGGATTCATATTTGTACGAATCCGATGTCAACTTCCTGTTTATCCGTGCGTCTGTCCGTACCATACATAACAAATTTTGGTCGCAGTTTTCTCAGCAACTACTCATTGCAGATGCTTGAAATTTTAGCACACTCTTTGTTTAGGCATGCATATGGTGGGATTTATTTTTGTATGAATCCGATGTTAACTTCAAGATTATAACTGTGTTTATCCATAACTGAACATGTGTATTCATATCAGAGCAGGGGTATTATTAGTGAGCATTGGCTCACAGACTTCTTGTTTTTAAAAGGACCCTGTATACACTTATGAAAAATATTTTCTGGATATGAAGAAATTTATCTTGATTAAAGGTGTAAATACTGAGTTGAGCTATTGCAGTTTCCTTTTAGAGTACCAGTCATTCAGAGGTAAAATGTTCAAAGGCTACAAAGTACTGAAGAGAAATTACTGCTGCTTACTTTTACTGGGAAATTAGTAACATATTAACAGATTGTTTAAGGATGACATTTACTCAGATGTCAAAGAATTCCACTGATGACAATGAAAAATATGAAACTATTATACATTGTAGACCTTTGACTGTGGTGCTATTTTTCACTTCCAAATAAGTAGGTCAATGATCTACTTTTTGTGCCAGAGGCCTCTGAGTATTTCTTGTAAAATCCCCATTAACATGCTTAAGATTTTGCACTACATATAATGATTAACTATCAAGACTTGTTCTCAGGAAAAAGTTGCAAGTATGGCCATCTTTACAAAAATTGTTTGATTGCCCCCTCCCAACCGACTGGCTAAAAATGGACTGACTCAAATTTTTTTTAACCTTCAGGAAGCAATTTTTTTATGCACTCTGAAAAATAGATTGTGAAAAATGAGCATTGAAATTGACATTTTCTGAGAGAAAAAAAAATCTCACCTACCTACCGACCCAATTTTTTCGTCCTGGGTCGAGAGAGGGCAAACAAACCTTATTTTATAGTTGGCCTAATGGAATGCTTTGGATAATGAAGTAAAACGTAGTGTTGCTAAATAGAATAAATGACTAGAGTTTAAGCACTTGTTCGGGCCTTTGCTCTGTGGGTGCCCTATAGTGATCAGTCCGTCCTTCCGTCCGAGATCTCTTGTCCGGAGCATATCTTCTCTCTCCTTCGCCCAATCTGGCTCATACTTCACGCACAGAGTGTCTTTGGGTAAAGGGTGTGCTGTGACCTTGAACCATGTTTCTAGGTCGAAGGTTAAGGTCATAGCAGAATTATATGAAAAATCCTTGAAATATCTTTTCTCCCCTTGGTCCAATGTGGCTCATACTTGACTCACAGAGTGCCACTGGTCAATGGATGTGCAGTGACCTTGAACGAAGTTTCTAGGTCAAGGTCAAAAATAGGCTACCTTACATTTTCATGTTATTGCTGAAAGCGGGGCCCTTTGAGATGGCCACCATCTCAATGATATCTAGTTAAAATTATTCCAGTCCGAATTTCCTCTGTCGGTTTTCTAAATTTTATCCATTTTATGCTCCGGGGCATATAGTGTTTGTCATGTCCATCTTTCTGTCCTTCCTTATGTCCTTCCTTCACACTTTGCATTAAGCTTAGTTTCAAAGAAATTATTCAAGATATTTTTATCAAACTTCATACATTGATACATATTGATGAGAGTTATTCAAATGCATCAACATTTTTTGACCTTGACCTTCAGTTTGACCTTGACCCACTTTTCTTAACATTTTAAGGAAAATATTCCACATATTTTTATCAAACCTTATATGCTTATACATACTGATGATAGCTATTCCACTTCATCAACATTTTTTGACCTTGACTTTTACTTTGACATTGATCTCACTTCTTGATTATCTCAATTTCAAAGAAATTTAAGATATTTTTATCAAACCTTTTTATGCTTATACATATTGATGAGGCCTGTTCAATTGCATCAACAATTTTTTGATCTTGACCTTTCCTTTTACCTTGACCTCACTTTTCTTAGAATAGTATTTAGCTCATTTTCAAAGAAGCTAATCAAGATATTTCAATCAAACCTAATATGCTGATACATATTGGTAAGAGCTATTCAATTCAGTCAACATTTGTAATCTTGACTCAACTGTGTTTAGCTAAATTTCAAAGAAATATTTCAAGATATTTTTATCAAACTGTATATGCTTATACATATTGATGAGAGCTATTCAACTGCTGGCTCATTTTTTACCTTGACCTTCCATTTGATCTTGGCCTCACTTTTTTCAAATTTGTGTTAGCTAAGTTTCAAAGAAACAAACCAAGGTACATGTATTTTGTATTTCAAACTTCATATGCTTATACATATTGATGAGAGCTATTCAACTGCATTAGCATTTTTGACCTTGACCTTTCCTTTTACCTAGGTCTCAACTTTTGCAAATTTTTGTTTAGCTAAGTTTCAAAGAAACTTTAATACTTAAAACAATTATTTGCAAACTAGGTATTTCTGCCTCTTGCAAGTTCTATCATTGATTAATAATTGCAAAATGTAATGAAATATTTTTTATGCAAAATCGCAATTTGAATAGAGGTAGCAATTTTAATCACTCATTTTTAGATCACCTGAGCCGAGGGCTCAAGTGAGCTTTTCTGACCGAAATTTATCCGTTGTCTGTCGTTGTTGTCATTGTTGTTGTCATCATTGTAAACTTATCACATTTTCATCTTCTCAAGAACCACTGGGTCAATTTCAACCAAACTTGCCACAAAGTATCCTTGGGTAAAGGGGATTCAAGTTTGTTCAAATGAAGGGCCATACCTTCTTCCAAGGGGAGATAATTGTGAATTTGTGAAAAATTTATGGCATCTTTTAAAAATCTTTTTCTCAAGAACCACTGTGCTATAAAATATGAAAATAACGTGGAAGCATCCTCAGGTAGTGTATATTCAAGTTTGTTCAAATCATGACCCCCGGGGGTAGGGTGGGGCCGCTGTGGGCAATCAAGGTTTCACATAGGAATTCATAAGGAAAATCTTCAAAAATCTTCTTCTCAAGAACAGCAAAGCCATGATTAGTCATATTTATATGGAAGCATCCTCAGGTAGTTTAGATTCAAGCTTGTTCAAATCATGACCCCCTGGGATAGGGTGGGGCCACAGTGGGCAATCAAAGTTTTACATAGGAATACATAGGGAAAATCTTCAAAAAGTTTCTTCTCAAGAACAGCAAAGCCATGATTAGTCATATTTATATGGAAGCATCCTCAGGTAGTGTAGATTCAAACAGCAAAGCCATGATTACTCATATTTATATGGGAAGCATCCTCAGGTAGTGTAGATTCAAGTTTGTTCAAATCATGACCCCTGGGGGTAGGGCGGGACCACAGTGGACGATCAACGTTTTACATAGGAATACATAGGGAAAATCTTCAAAAATCTTATTCTCAAGAACCACTGGGCCAATTTCAACCAAACTTGCCACAAAGTATCCTTGGGTAAAGGGGATTCAAGTTTGTTCAAATGAAGGGCCACACCTTCTTCCAAGGAGAGATAATTGTGAATTTGTGAAAAATTTATGGCATCTTTTAAAAATCTTTTTCTCAAGAACCACTGTGCTAGAAAATATGAAACTATCGTTGAAGCATACTCAGGTAGTGTAGATTTAAGTTTGTACAAATCATGACCCCCAGGGGTAGGATGGGGCCACAATGGGCGATCAAAGTTTTACATAGGAATACAGGTACATAGGGGAAATCTTTAAAATATTCTCCTCAAGAACAGCAAAACCGTCATTGGTCATAATTAAATAAAAGCATCCTTTGTAGGTAATGTAGATTAAATTTGATCAAATCATGACCCCCCCCCCCCTCCAGGAGTATATAGAGGGGCCATAACAGGGGATCATAGTTATACAAAGAAATATAAAAGATAAATCAATAAAAATTTCTTCTTTCTTACTGAACTGATTTCTGCATTTTCCTAGCCAAAGTGCTCAGGTGAGCGATGTGGCCCATGGGCCTCTTGTTAAGAATATCAATTTCTGAGGTGTTTTGTTGTTCAGTTACCTCCCCGTTGTTGATAGTTTATATTGGTTCTATATTTATCACATATCTTCAAGTCAGGTATTCTCTACAATATCATTACCTTAAATTAAGACCATATTTACTTATCAGTGGCAGCTTTTATTGTAAATACGTTTATTTTAAATGCACCCGATTTGGTAACATTCTTGTTATGTCATACTAATACCAAGAGACAGATTATAGAAAGGAGTTATCCTTCCTAACTGAAAATTTGCCTTTGCTGTCAAGTTGGATTATTTCCCGAAAATCACAGATCGCTGTCTGTGGTGAGGCATAAAATATTGCTTGATTTTATGAAATCTAAGAAGTATTAGTAACCAAGCAAATTTCACTTAATATTTATCATGGGATGGAGATAAAATAACGAAAACAACATTTGAGTCTATAAGTTTTATTTTTAGGAAGAAGCATACAAATCGGGAGCAGAGCAAACATGCACGGACCTCCAAAAACATCAGAGGTGGGATGAGGTGCCGCGTGGAGGAGTGAGCATACCCTGCCGACCGGTCACTCCCGCCGTGTGCTCCTTTTCATGATCGGGAAAATGGAAAAATCCGAAGACAATTCAATGTGTAAATAATGACCTAACAATTAGTATGAAAAACGTCAGTCAGCACTTGACTAAATGATAAGTTGTATTTGCTGACAAGGACATTGTATCGACCTTAAAAATTGCAAAATGAAGACTTCAAACAAGACTGTTGATATCCTTGTTTCATCAACTTGTTTGTCAATAGCTTGCCTCGGTTTTATTGTTCATATGTAGAGCATGCTCTTGCGTATCGAATCAACTGGGAGATATCGAATCAACTGGGAGATTGATTGATTGATTGTGTGTAGTTTTACGTTCCACTCCAAAATTTTTCACTCGTATAGAGACATCACCATATAACGGTGAATGGCTTCAAATTTAGGCCTTTACTCGGCAATTGAGCAGTGAGGGTTCTTTATCGTGCCAACGCCTACTGTGACACGGGTCCTCGGTTTTTAAGATCTTATCCGAAAGACCCGCAACTTTCACTCCAGAGTGCTGAGCGCTGGGCGAAGGAACAGTTGCTACCTATTTTTTTTTTTTTTTTTTATCGACTTAGGTCAGTGGAGGCCTTAATTTGAACACAAGACTTTTTGATCACGGAGCGAGCGCTCTACCGACTGAGCTACCGTGACGGTCAACTGGAGACAAAAAAACCATATTCAGGTGATAAGGGTAAGCTACATGAATATAAGGGAAGTTGACGAAAATTGAAGTCATCACGTATCATAAAGCTTTGTTGTGAGGTTACCATTAAATTCTTTTTCTATTAAAATATCCAAATATGAAACAGATATACTTGAATAAACATTACTTAGGGATGTTCCTTATCGTTATGACAGATCATGGCTTCGCTGTTCTTGAGAAGAAGAATTTAAAGATTTTTCCTATATATATCACCGTGTAAAACTTTGATTGCCTGTAGTGGCCCCACCCTACCCCTTGGGGTCAAGTTTTGAACAAACTTGAACCTATATTGTCTCACAAAGCTATCACATAAGTTTCATCTTTTCTGGCCCAGTGGTTCTTGAAAAGTGGATTTTAAATGACCCCACCCAATTTTTACCATTTCTTAATTATCTCCCTGTGAAAGAGGCCCTTCGTTTGATCAATCTTGAATTCCCTTCGAAATATTTTTCCCTTCATATTCCCGTGTAAAACTTTGATCTCCTATTATGGCCACACCCTACATACAGGAGTTTTAGAGTTTGTCCCCCTACGTTATATAAAAATATTAGTATTTTTATATAACGTAGAGGGAGAATCTCTAAAACTGAACAGAAACGAAAAATGATATCAAATATCGAAGTATTGGTATGATAGACTAGGAATTCATGTATATTTGCCAAGTTATCGTGTCTAAAAAAAATTCTCAGAAGAGGGGGGGGGGGGTACACCAACCATGCGTCAGGTATACACCTTTTGCATTTCCTCTTTAAGGTACCTCTATACATTGTATGCTAAAGAGTTCTGATTTCGTGATATTTTTAGCAGTTAGAGTGATCTGCACTTAGATCTAAAATATTTTTTTTGGTATAAAGGTCCTTAAAAATATTGATCCACCCCTGAAATCGCGCGATAACATTTTGTCTCTTATCGCTCAAACGCAAACACTTCCCGGGATCACAAACGTCCGCGTTAGACTCTACATACCATGATTTAACGGAATACTTTTTTTTTAGTGTGTTAGATAGTGTATGGAGTATAGATAGTTACACAACACAGTAGATTTCTTCCTGGTGTTCAGGTTCTCGAAATGGAATCCTTAAGGCGGACATTCAGAAGTCGTAGAGACTACTCGGCCATTAACCCAGTGCTGAAATATTTCCTTTTCTTTGAGAATTTTCTTATATGGGTAGGTAATATTTTAAAATAATTTTGATCCTGGTGTTTGTAAATATAAATGTGTGGTATACATGTTTTATGAGTTCGTTGATATAAAGTTTTATCCAACGGTTGATAATAGGACATCGGTAGGGTAAACAATGGCTGTATTTGTACATACCCCTTATAAAGACGAGGACTTTTCTGTTTATTTTACTTTTTTCGTAGCTAGTATTTAAATCTGTGAACTTTGCTTAATCAATTCTAGATATCTATTCATTGGAAAAAGACCAAAATGAAATTTCATTGGTTTTGTCAACTTTTTTGCAATGCAAAATACATTACTTTTTCCCAAACTCTTATGTCAATTCAGCTCTAATAACAGAAAGGGTTTTTTCATATAATTTCTCAACACGAAAGCTTTAAAAGGTCTTTAAGGTTGTGTAGAAAACAAATATAGAGAAATGCGGCCAAAATTAGCCTTCAACTCGAACATGTATTCCCGTTTTTGTCTCTCAGAATTTTGATATGCCACAATATTTTCTTCTGTTTCTTTCATTTCTGTTATATGATTACATGCATTTTTTAAAAAAAAGTTCAGCATCAAAATTTTTCTAAACTTTGGATACCGCCTATGTGATACTGGGTATATTATATCTATGTAACATCATGTATAACATAACATAATACGTGTACATGTAACATCTCTTATCAAAATGAAATTCAGTCATACTTTCAATGAATACATAAATTACATATAGTTATCACATGTATAATCAACACTGAAAAATTATTTTCAGCTTGCAGGTCTTGGAATGACGGCCATTGGGGCTTACGTACTTTACATGAAGAAGAAGGTTGTTAAGGACGCGTTCGATTTCTTCCTGGATCCGTCCACATTGATGTGTACAGGGGGCGCTATAGTCGTGTTCATCACTTTCTTTGGGTGTATGGGAGCTCTCAGAGAAAACACATGCTTATTGAAAACAGTGAGAAATAATATTAAAGTAGAAAAAACAATAATATTTCCTGATTATCTACTTTTCTCGCAAAAGTTATGACCTGTATTCTCTATTTGTATGACGTATACTAAGCTGATATTTTGAAAATACATGTCCTTTTACAACTTGAGATTATAATTTCTTCAATGTATAAAAGAAGTTTAATAAGAAAATAATAATATCATTTTGTTTATTTTCAGTACAACTACGTATTGAGTTTCATCTTTTTGGGAGAGTTGGTGCTTGTAATCCTTATTTTCGTGTTTTATTACGTCCCCGAATCTCGTCATCAACTGGGAATTTTCCCTCAGGATAGCTTGAGTAATGCAATAACAAAATACGGCGTTGTGGACGATGATGACATGGTCAGTCTTATTGACAATATACAAAAAACGGTAAGAAAACAGAAAACAGCAGAAAATCTTGACAATCAAAAAGAGTGAACATAGAGAAATGGTGAGACAATAGAAAATTAGAAATATTGCACATTAAGAAAGTAAACCCAGAACTTGATAACCCTTTGACATTAAGACTTCAAACTTGGTACATAAAAAGGTAGTATAGAGAAGTGGTGCATGTCACCAAAATTTTTTTTTTCATCTTGACTCATTTTTCCATTCAAGATCAAGTTAAGAAAAAACGCAGGCAGACCATAACTTGAGAACCCTTTGACTTACCTTGACCCATTTACATGTATAGAGTCTAGATAATTTTTTTCATCAAAATATAGTCCAGACCTTTACCTGAGAGCTCTCTGGCATCAGGATTTCAAACTTTGAACATGGAAAGACAACATTACGACAAGATGCACTTTACCAAAGAGTTTTGACTTTGACCCATTTCTTAGAGGTTCTGTAAGGAAAATCACAATCAGACCATAACTTGAGAACCTTTGACTTGAAGACTTGAAACATAGAACGCAGATCAACGAAATAAAGCTGAAGATGCACTGTATTTTTAACCTTCACCCTTTTGTTCAAAGGTTAAATAAAAAACCAAATCTTTGCTATATCTTGAGAACCCTTTGAATTAGGACTTCAAACCACAGGCACTTGTTTCTGTGAAAATTTTCCTACCTATAGTATAGTAACACCACACGTCTCTCACCACGAAGTGCTATTTACTCATCTCGGACAGAAAACAAAATTTTAAAAATCAATCGGTTTAAAAATTAATTCAATTCCAATGTTTAAAGATTGCAGAGAATAAATTTTTTTTTCATTTATTATTGTTCTGAAAACATACATTTCCCGATATAATTCTCGAAACAGTCTTTCAGGAATAGCCAATCAAAATCAAAGAATATATTCTGCTCGAGATGAATATATAGCACTTAGTGGTGTAGTTTGGCCGATGGAATTTATTTTAGAAAATTATTATTATTAATATTTTTGACAGTTGCAGTGTTGTGGTTTAGCTGATAGTGAAGAAGGGTATAAGGACTGGACTAAAAACCCGTATTACAACTGCACGAAGCACAACAAGAGTCCAGAGGCATGCTCTGTACCTGCCTCATGTTGTAAAGTTAAACCGGTAATTTAGATATAACGAGAGAGAGAGAGGGGGGACTGCTCTAAGTGCAAAAATAAGTTTGAGGAAGCGGTTTGGTTATTAGATAAGAATTTTCAACGAGTAGGTTTCATTTTGTTAATTTTGTTATGATTAGGTGCATTTTGTAAATTGTATATATATACGAGTATTATATATATATATATATATATATATATATATATATATATATATATATATATATATATATATATATATAGTTATACAAGAGGTGTGTTATGGGATATTTGGCGTATCTCAGACTCACGTTGTGGGATCCTTAGGTGGTTTATGGGTCATCTATATTTTGACCCATAAACCATGTAGTCTAAACTTCACAGAAATGTTGGAAATGCTATTCCTACCATAAAAAACAAAAAAAATATTTTTTTTGACCCATAAGGATATATAGAAAAATGTCCCACAACGCAAAATCTATTTTTAGAACAGTCGGTCTAAGTCCCTCGCTTTCAACATTTTGTGTATCTATAAATGTCAATATTGGAATATCCCACAATACGGTGTAGCGATACACGCAATGCATTGTGGGAGGACAATGGCGGCGTTTAGCAGGGGTAAAGAGTTGTAAGACAGTAAGTAAGTATCTTGTTATTATTAGTAGAGCAATTGAATATAACACATATTTATGATAATTAGACGAGAGAACGAGGGACTTTCGAACTTGTTTGATCGTAAGCACAGTTTAAGGTTGGTCGCGGGTTTACTGCATAAAAATTCTTACGGGAAAACATGTTCAGAAAAATTTGATATAATGTTCCTTAGAATTTGCGGCATATTATCTGAAATTTTTATTAAATTTGCCTACGTGAAGATAAGTAGCTTATCTTCTCTAGTATTATGAAATTCATAATTCTGCCCACAAAGTCAGAATGAACGGTATATTGATATAAACATTCTTCGTGCATTAGAATTAATATGCAGTAACTAGTGATGGGAATCGGTAAGAATTTCATAATCGATGATCGGGCTACTGTAACTAACTAATTATCAATTATAATCGGACATTTACAAAGTCCGTCAATTTAGTTTATCAAATGGTAAGAATGGATGAATAACTACTTTCTGTGGTGGTCCAGCTGTAGTTAGAATAATCTAACTGTGTTTCGGGACAAGCCCTAGTCCTTAAGACAATATTTTAACGATAGAACGTTCGATCTAGTCCAGCTGGTTCTTCATTCATTTTGTAGAATCCAAAGTATGTCCATACCCGGGAATTAGCATTGTTACCCGGGTATGAATACAATGTCTGTTCGTCTGCGCCATTATGATACACAAATAAGTTAATAGAAAAGTCGCGGCTGGAATATTTGGCTTGAAAACTATTACACTTGTAAAATAAAATAAATAACCCGATTAATCGGAATAGAAATTTTGTAATCGAGCACTTGGATTATGCCAACAATCGACTGATTTTCGATTATAATCGATGATTGGAACACCACTAGCAGTAACACTGCGATAGATAATATAATACAAGTAATGTTAGGATGTTCAAGTTCATTATTAAGAATTCAAGTATAACACGGTAAAGGGAAAAAAAAGCCCACCATTGAAGGGGGGTGGGGGTTATCAGTAATGTTCTTTTTAAGTCAATCGCAATTCAGTATATAGTCAGAACTCTCAAACATTTGTTCTTTCTTGTTTTTTTTTTTTCTTTATTAATTTTTCATCATTTAAAAAAATGTAAAATACTTGCATTCAGCTTAAACACAGATAGCTTAATTTTGTTATAGAAAAAATTGTACTTGAAGTCTTGATACTTGTATTTCGTAATACATGTACAGTATATTAATATCTGTTTAGAGTGCCATAAAGGTCCGATATGCTGGGTGTTTGTATGAATTCATTTTAAGGGGATGAAGGACACATGGTCACATGACTCTGTTTAACTACATCATAGTCTCCGTTTATATAAGTGCAATATGTGTAAAGCATTAATTCTTGTATAATTTTTTGACAATTTTTTAACTTTAATTACCATCTTATATAAAAAAATTAAAAAGTTTTTACGTTCTTGTAAACATTAACAAATTATGAAAAAGATTGATCCACTCCTCTGTTTCCCTAAACTGCGTGTCCAACAAGTCGGTGACGTCATACATGATCTGTTAGTACAGCAAGATCATACTCGGTGAACACAGGGGTGGTATTACAGTGGTTCCCGTTTTATCGAATAGTCAAGTTGTCAGCATAGTTTTATCCGAATAGCCGAAAATTAGAATAGCCGATTGCTCCATACCGAGTCCAAAGATAGATGTATAGAGCTACATGTATTGATAATACATCGTAGCTAGCAAATTTCAAGCTTGCACTTTTGTTTTCTTTTGACATGTTTACTTAATGACTTTACTAAAAATAATTTATTTCACTTACTTATGAATTTAATATGAAATTTTTTTTCAAATAAATTGACGTATAGAATATATTCTTTGATAGTTATTGCCATCTTTCTTCAGCACATGTTTACATTCCTTCTTCGATGGTCGCCATTTTGGAAACGGAAGTAGACTAAATGCTTGACTAATAACCGTAAACTATTTTTCCCTGGATAGATTGTAAATTAAAAATAAACAAAAATATTAAATATATGTAATTGTTTCCTTTTGATTTGTTTCTTTAATACGGTTACGTATTTTATACTGTGTTTGAGTTTACCAGTCTCGTTCTTGTCTGCTGAAGAGAGATCTTGAGAGCCATGTGGAGAAAGATGGTATGAATTTTGAGACGTATTTTTATAGAACAAGCCATTTGTGATTTTTACCATAAATTTTGCACTGAAAAGTGAATAAATATTAAGCCAATTGACCAAGTTAAACGATTGAATAGGATTATTTCATTATCCAAGCAAATTGTCATACACAAGCTAATCAGTTCAATAATTAAAATTTCACACCGAAAAAATTGCAAATAATTGTCATAATTAACAAGTGCATCATTGAACCCAAGCTGATCACCACAACTGTAATCAAAACATATCTATTTACTTTGCCCACTATTGATACAGGTAAGGTGCCTGTGTGCGTCCAGGCGTAACTAATCCCCTCATTGTCGTACTCAAGCCAATCAAGGTAATTGGTGTCAAACTGTGTAGACAAAGGCTTCACATACGAAGGTGGAGCAGGGCTCGACATTAATTTTTTTCCCTACTTGTCCAATCGGGCAAGTGACCAAGACATTTACTTGTCCGAACTTCAACTTCACTGGTCCGAAATTTGTTCAATAAAGATACAATACTGTCAACTTGAAAACTAATATAAAGTCCATTACATGTGATTCATTCGTGATGTTATTGATAAATACAACAAACATATAACAACAAACTTTTATCTAGACTTTCTATCCTGACAACAACATAAATGTTCACAAACATCAAACAGAATCTAAACTTCGTAACTCGATGTAACTTCATGCCCTCCTTTGCAGTAGTATGCAATTAGTGAACTTCGATCCCGATCGAGTGTGAACTCAATTACATAGTGATCCATATCGGGATCGAAGTTCGTTTTTTTATGTACTGCTTACGTCTTTACCGATGAACTTTCAATAGTCGTTCTTTTTATTATTTGAAGACTTCTTTATATTAAAATGCACTTGTCCAATCGGACAAGTGCCCAGCAATATTCACTTGTCCGTAATTTTTTTTCGCTGGTACCAGACAAGCGGACAAGCGTTAATGTCGAGCCCTGTGGAGGTGTGAACAAGGTGCTGATTATCAAAAAACACTATGATAGTCCAAATTTTTGTATGGGATAAAACGAAATTCCAGTATTTTTTCATCAGAATATCAGGTGAAATTATTAATAAATATATAAAAAATGGTTTTGTGCTCTGATATTATATTGAAATAGCCGAAATATTCATTAAACCGCTATCCGATAAAATGGAAGCCACTGTATTATGTAAAAACAGTTCATAATCAGTATATGATGAAATATTTTGAGAAATGGGGAACACAAAAATTATTTTTGCATGGCTGATGACGGAAATCATATGTAGGTATATCTTATTTCGCTTATTTAGCTTACGTGTGACGTCATAGTTGGTTTTTCTCGTAGTCGAGAAATGTAACGTGACACATTTTTGTCATGCTTATGTCCTCTTTAACGATGTCCTGTGAAATAATGAGGTCAGCTTCATCATTTGATATTTTTACAGTTATTCAATAATTTGAAGGATTTGCATTTCAACATAAATTAAAAAATATTGAATGATAGAATTTTTTGTAAATTACGTTTTTTATTGTTTAAGTTGTCTTAAAAAGTGCGTTATTTTCCCTATCCAGATGCAGTGTGATAGACAAAACTTGCTTTTTTGAATTTTAAATCCTAGTTATACTCCGAAATAATTTAAAAGATACATGTCCACTTTGATATTTTTTACATATGCTTAAAAAATCCCATTAAGGACAGAGTAATTAGCCCGGAAACATGGAGAATTAAAACTGCACTTAGATACAGTAGGGCATAGTAATTGTCAATCACTATCTCCAAAATAAGGTAAGAAACCTAATGATATAACTGCTTTAAGATATGTGGGACATACTTAATTAGAAATATACAAAATATGAAAAAAATTGAATGACAAGTATTTTTTCAGCTCAAGGTCCTTCTCCTCCTTATTATAACATGTTTAACATGCATTTCACTGATAAATCAATTCCTTGCTAGCCTGCTTATAAATAGAGAACAACTTTATTAGATTCAAATACAAAATATTTTTTTAAAAAAGAGGAAAATGCATTTAATTAAATTTCATCCATTTTTAGCGTTTAGGGTTGATGTTATCCTTAAAATAACAAATGTGTGTGGTTTTTTTTTTGGCTGTGATGAGCAAACATGGTACATTACACACCTTCCCTTCATTGCAAATTTATGTGCATACATACAGCCTTTCAACTTTTCAACGTAGCAATTTACTGAAAAACCGTTACTTTCATTTTGCATGCCATATATCTTTAACACTGA